TACAAATCAAAACTGGGAAAAAAGTGTTTTTTTTTAACGGTTTTTTCCTCTTTTTTTATATTTTATTTGTCCTAAGTGAGGCGTTAGACGCACATATGTGATATAAATATGTAGCCCTATCTGTCCTCTAAAAAACAATATATAATATGTGTGGGTGCACTTTGTAAGAAAGTATATTACTGACGTGGAAGAATCACACAGCAAAAATGTCAAAAGTGTGTCAGTCATTTACGAACAGAAACTAAAAACAAGCTCAGTCATGAAGGGGTTAAGGGGGAAAAGTATCGCTGAAAAACAATACCTCAATTGGAGTTCTCATGATCCCAGCAGTAGGCGAGCGGGGGTCAGTCACATGGGAAAGGTGGCGGTTTTGTATCGGCCGAGAAGGGGTCACCTGTGCTCTGGATTCCGCTGCTCCCATCTTTTGCAAACGTGTATAACAAACAGAAGACGAGCTGCAAAAATGGTTCATGTTAGAGAGAAGGAAGGCTCAAACAACAAACATTCCTGTCGTATGGTTATATATTTATTACAGCCACAAGTAAGGAGATAACGCCATGTGTAGAAAACAGGCGGTATGCAACACTATAGGTAGAAGATACTGCACTGGACAGTTATTAAATGAGACACAGACCTCATGTAGCCCCCCCCCACAATATGGTTCCATGTCACCATCCTCCATTTCAATCCCCCACCCTCATCATCATGTCATCTTTACCATCCCTTCATGACACAGTGCAATCTCCTCCTGCTACAGTACCGTGCCCTCAATCAGCGCCATCTCCTCCATGCCCGGTCCCCCTCCTGCAGAGCCATCTCCTCCATGCTGTGTCCTCCTCCTGCAGCGCCATCTCCTCCATGCCGTGTCCTCCTTCTGCGGTGCCATCTCCCCTTCCTACAGTACCATCCCCTCCAACTACAGTGCCCTGTCCGGCATACCATGCCCTCCTCCTACAGTACCATCTCTTCGGCACACCATCATCGATAAACCTCCGCTCCAATATAGCAAAGATTACGGTAATATAGCCCTGTGCACGGTCACCCTAGGACCCCGCACACCCGGAGCCAGGGCTCACCTCGCACTCTCCGGACATTCAGCTCGGGTCCACTGTTTTGCACTTCCTGGGAGCGACATTCAAAATGCCCGCCGCAGCCAATCTCTCATCCCGCTGGAGTCCATTGGCTGAGCTCTTCCCCCGTCCACCAATAGAAGACGTCAGGGGGCGGGTCAGGAATGCATTCTACGAATCTACGATTGGCTAGACTGGAGCCATAGTAACAATTACAAAGGCCGATTGATTACGGATTAAAAATGTCCCCGCCCCTTTCACTGCTCTCGTCGCTGTTATTGGATAGAAGTTTGTATGGCAAACGCTGCCCCTGAGTTATGTGATTGGTGGAAGGGGAAGTCACATGATTACAGTGTGTACAATGTGTGATCGGGAGAGGAGAGGAGGGGAGCGGACCGGGACATGAGGACACTGCATCAGTGCTGGTCTGGGCATCGTTCATAAGAGGAGGAAGGGAAGAGACCCGGGAAGATGGGAGGAAATAAGGGGAACATCGGTAGACTCAGGGGGGTAAAGGGACATGTTGACTCTTAAAGTGACATTAAACCCTCAGATTTTTTTAACATAAAACAATACTGTAATGTGTGCCTTACTGTAATCCATGGTTGTTTCCCTTCTCTTTGCTGCTCTTCCTTTTAAATCTGTATCTGTTCTCATGCTGGGCAGAACTTGTGTTTTGCAGCAGACTGCCTTGTCTGACGAATAGATACACGGTGTCTGTGTATACGTTTCTATAGGCTTGTAACCTGAGCCAGCACTACAGGAAGAGGCACTGAGCTGAAAAGGGAAGTTCTCCCCAAGCATGAGAAGACATGAGGATTTAAAAGGAAAAGCAGCAAAGAGAAGGGAAACAACCATGGATTACAGTAAGGCGCACATTACAGTATTGGTTTATGTTAAAAAATCTGAGGGTTTAATGTCACATTAAGCTCTAACGACTCATTCATGCACATGACAGTAAAAAGTACTGCTGTCCGCCCTGGAAAGGACGTTGCTAGGATGCAGTCGGCTCGAGTAACAGTAGCCTAGCAACTAGGAGGGTACCTACACACTGTCCACATGGAAATGCTGCACAAGGATTACATGCGTATGAAGCACTTTCACAGGATCTGCTACCAGCGTTGTACTAGTCGCCATGTCTACTTTCAGGTGTGTGCCTGAGCACCATGAGAGGGGCCATGATGGCACTAGAGGATGGTGGCCATTATAGGGAGAGACCAGAATAGATGAGGGGGCCAGGATGGGATGACCAGTATAGCAGAGGGGTCCATAATGGGGGGAAGAGAAGATGAACGGGGTCCATGAAGGGAAAACCAAGAGGGGGCTATGTGATGGGAAGGGCCATGGTGGGGAGACCAGGAGAGGGGTATGTGATGAGGAGGGTCATGATGGGGAGACCAGGAGAGGGGTATGTGATGGGAAGGGTCATGATGGAGAGACCAGGAGGGGTATATGATGGGGAGACCAGGAGGAGTATGTGATGAGAAGGGTCACAATGGGGAGACCAGGAGAGGTGTATGTGATGAGGTGGAGGATCACAATGGGGATACCAGGCGAGGTATGTGATGAGGAGGTTCGTGATGGGGAGACGAGTCATGAGTAGGTGATGAGGAGAATGGTCATGATGGGGAGACCAGCAGAGGAGTAGGTGATGAGGAGGGTCACAATGGGGAGACTAGGCGAGGTATGTGATGAGGAGAATGGTCATTAAGGGGAGACCAGGAGAGGACAGGGGTCCTTGGGTGGTGAGACCAATTGAGCAGTTCATGATGCAGAGACCTGGAGAGGGGTACCTGATGGGTAGACCAGAATAGATGAGTGACTCATGATTGGGAGGGGGGGGGGGATTAAAAGGGGCAAAGGAAAGGAGACCT